CCCTAGTGTCACAAGAAATGTATTTAAATTTTTATATATTTAGAAAACACCATAACTCTTAAAGCACAAATCCATTTCTGCACTAAAAAGACATCCATCATGTAACTGGGTTGTCTTTCTCAAAACATGACGCTGTACAGTAGAGTTCCTACCTGTGGCTTGTTTTCATTGTTTCAGTTGTCCACGGTCAGTCATGGTCCTAAATATTAAATGGAAAAATCCAGAAGTAAACAGTAAGTTTTCAACTGGACGCCACTCTGAGCAGTGTGGTGAAATCTCTCACCATCCCGGACCTCCAGCCTCTTCCTGTGAGTTGGGTTGGTAGCCATCTTGGTTTTTAGACCTAAAAACCACGACTGTCACGACTGACAATGCTTGTGTTCCAGTAGCCTTTAATTCACTTAGTGATGACCCCCCAAATGCCAGAGTGGTGATTTAAAGGAGGCACTAGGGCATAAAACATGGGACAAATTACACTGTGCGCTGCAGCGATCTGCCAGGCATCTGGGGGACATCATAACAGGTTCAGGATTCTGTTTCAACATCCTTTGGCAGCCTTGACTACACCCCTGCTGTGATTTGATTACGCTCTCACAAGTTGTCTAACTCGTTGTCACCACGATTAAGAGTGGCCCACATAGCCCATGACTTTCAGAGAATTTTATACCATTTGGTTCAGGCTGTGTTTAAACCAAGTATTTTGAACATACGCATTTATGCAACTTAAAAACATACTTTAAAAGCCAGAGGGCTTACAATAAGTCTACCATTTAATGCTGAAATATTTCAAATTAGGGAACTATTTGAACAGAGAAGGGATCTATCAAAAACATTCTCAGCTAGACTTGACAAAAAAGAAAAAAAAACTACTCGTTTATGTTTTATTGTAGCTCAGACATTTGGTAAGAAGTGGTTCTGAGAATGCTGGCAATATAGTTCATCTAATTAACTGTTCATTAGAACGGGGTGGGGGGGAGTTAACCAAGATTGACTTATGGCAAACAATCATAACCCAGTTAGTACACCGATCACAACAGGAAATATCAAATACTTCAATCTTTTTTTTTCAGATTTTTTATTTGAATTAGAAACAAGATTGTTTTACATGACAATCCCAGTTCCCTCTCCCTCCCCTCCTCCCCTACCACCACTCCCCCCACTAAAGCCCTACCTATCTCATATCCTTTCTGCTCCCCCTGGATGGTGAGGCCTTCCATAGGGTGTCATCAGAGTCTATTGTATCCTTTGGGATAGGGCCTAGGCCCACCCCTGTAGTGTCTTGGCTCAGGGAGTATCCCTCTATGTGGAATGAGCTCCGAAAGTCCACACCTATGTTAGGGATAAGTACTGAACTACTACAGGAGGTCCCGTAGATTTCTGTGGGTTCCTCACAGAAACCCATGTTCCTGGGGTCTGGATCAGTCCCATGCTAGTATTCCAGCTATCAGTCTGGGGAGCAAGAGCTCCCCGATGTTCAGGTCCAAATGCTTCAATCTTTTAAGGAGCGACGAACACCTTGAATATGTACATTCTTTCTTGTCATTATTTTCTCAATTGCTGTATGATTCATATAAATTGTCTGGCATTTTTATTTTGAAAACTTAGCCAGGTGCATCTGGCAGCTTTCTAAATGCCTGGTTTTATCTAATTCAGTTACCTACACCTCTCCCTAACAGAACAGCTCCTGAGGAGACAGTAATCTATCTGTTGTTGCAAGAGAGGTAAGATAGCACGATAGCTGCTCGGGCTCAAGCTGCAGTCCGAGAACCAGGTGAAAAGATAGATAAATGCAGAGACAGAACCCAGCCAGGCAGTCTGGAGGGTAATGGATCTGCAATGCCTTTACCTCAGCAGCCATCAAAGCCAAACCAATCAGTCCCCAAGACACCAAGAACAGACAAAAGAGGAGAGTGATCCCAGAAGCCACCTGTTCGTTCTCTTACTACAAATGGCCACGGAAAGCCATGCGAATGTTTACTCTCGTGAAGTATACAACAGATTGGTTTGCTGTCATTAATTCTTCTAAGATTACCTCAGGATGACTCCAAGAAGTGCACTTGTTTTCATTTTCAGCTAAAGAGAGATTGCTAACCAAGCCCTGCCAAGCATTTTGTCGTTGTTTCCCCCAGGGTGTTCAGGCTTTGGGGGGTTACAGGAATCTCCTGATTGTGCCCTCTTTCTTGATGCCATTAGTTTATTTGCCTTCCCACTTGGTATTCTTTCCAGACTTTCCTACGGCATGCTCAGCAACAAAGCATTCAGAGAGATTTAATTATTCCTTTTCAGAATATGTGCTCTGGGTAGACACCCAAATTAAAGACCCTTTTCTCCCTATCACACTCAAAAGTAAAAAAAATTTTAAAAAAGTTCCTTGAGATAGAAGCATTTTTACAAAAACAATCACAATTTTGGAAATCAGAAATTAGATTTTCTTTGCAGAAGCTACTGTTCTCCATGCTTTCTTAATGACCCCATGAAATCCTTTCTGTGCAATCAGTTACACCTTTGAGATTGAAAGATTTTTTGAATATTCACCACCCAGACCCCAAAATGGTTACTGTCTGAAGCCTGTGTCTTGAGGTTATTGAATACACGGGTTCTGTTTTAAATTATATACCTAATTATAAGGAAGCCGTTCATAAAGAACAATGTATATAAGTCATATAAATAAAAATGGAATGACAGGTTCTCTACATATGTCTCCCTTTCCCACAAATATTTTGGAACACTTTCTGGAACCAGAAAAAAAAAAAAAAAAGACCTGAAATTTGTCAGTGAGCAAAACTGTAGGCAGATATTTTTGCTGAGTATGCAAATTGGCTGCCACTCTGAGCAGCAAGTTTTGGTGCAAGCAAACACTGCAGTTGGTAGGAGCTTTCTAGAAATGTCTCGTGAAGCACCGTGCCCTCATAGGTCTTGCCTCAACTCTCACTAGCATTACTTTGCTTCCTTCTAGCAATGATCTAACTCCAGACTAGGAGGGAAAAAAGTTTCAACCTTTGGGTGAAAAGTGAGTGCTTTCAGAAAAATCCCATAAAAAAAAAAAAAAAGACTCAACCTATAATGGGGCTTTTAACTGCTCCCTGAGCCATTTTTCTTCTTCTTCAGGTTGGAGGTTACAAGGTACTTTTAAAAATGGTTTTAACAGTTGCCGGTCACTGAGAAGATTAAAGGCATAAACGGCTGAGGCTGGATGGCAAGGCCGCTACCAAAGGCTTCGCACCGCCTCTGTATCGATACATTCTTTTCATTTCTCTGCATTCAGAAGCTTACAAACAAGATTGGAAATGTTCAGGATCCTGCAGAGCCAGTGTGTGTGTCACGTTCCGTCGGAAAGTGGGGGCGAGGTGCGGGACTCAGTGTCCTCTAGCCGTGGGAGAGTCATCACACGTTTCTCTTTGCCATCCACAAAGTGGGGATAAAAGATAGCTTTGGAGAATAAAGCTTGACAAGGGTGAATGAATGAAATTTTATCTTCAAATGGTTTGAAGTTAGACTGAATTTAAGTGTGGGGGGGGGAGTACCTTTAATACACTGAGAGCGGCAGTGGAAGCAAGAAGTATAACATGTCCCCTCTTTCGCTCTGAGCAAGTTAAGTAACGATCGTGCCTATTAAATGCTTGTACACAGTTCTATCATAAAAGTGTGGTTTCAGCCGGGCGTTGGTGGCGCACGCCTTTAATCCCAGCACTCGGGAGGCAGAGGCAGGTGGATCTCTGTGAGTTCAAGGCCAACCTGGTCTCCAGAGCAAGTGCTAGGACAGGCTCCAAAGCTACACAGAGAAACCCTGTCTCGAAAAACCAAAAAAACAAAACAAAACAAAACAAAAAAGTGTGGTTTCACCCAGGAGCCTCTCTCAAATGGAAGTGCTTGGTAAAAACGTAAAGCACTACCCTGTAATGACGACAGTACTAGTACTAAGTACTTACCTGGGACCTGGCAGTGAAAAGCAAACGTTGGGCTATGGAAACTTTTATCTCCATTTTATATAAATGATAAACTCAAGACAGACACACTAAGTCAATAGACTACGCTACCCAGCAAGGGAGAGGACAGCGCTGAGGTCATCTGGCCTCCACACTTGGGCACATCGTCCACAGAGCAGCAAGCGAGCGGGCAATAATGCTGCTTTTCCTGTGCCCGGCTCTGATTGGTAATTTATACCTCCCCCAAATGTGTATGTTCTTCTGAATTAGAAAGCTGAAGCATGGCTTGTCTTGCTGGAAAAGGGCTCTTTCTAAGTTGCTTTTCTAGTTCAGCACTTACTGTTTTGTTTTTATTTACTTTATTCATCATTGTTTTGAATTCTCCGGCCTCAGCGTTCCAAATGCTGGGATTGCAGGTGTATGAAGTATCGTGCCCTAAAGGAAATTGTTCATATCCATATTTCATTGCTCATATGAATATAACAAGTGCTATATAATACACCACATCAAAACTCACAAATAGGTTTTGGAAGTTTACTAATTATCAATTAACAATAATTTAATTTAGGGCCAGTGAGATGGTGGAGAAGGTGAAGGTGCTTACCACCACTCCTGAAGATCTCAGTACAACCCCAGATCCCAGGAAGGAGAGAAACAATTCACACATGAGCCTCTCTACACATGTGACAGTTTGAACACACACACACAATTAATAAAAATAATTTAATTTAAATGAAAAACAGCATTTACATCTATAACACCAGAAAATATTAGCACTGATAGCATTTTGTATTCAATCTCCAGACCCAAACAAAGGAAAACAATTTAAAACTCATGTTTTTCAAACATGCTTTTCTGTTCTATTTATTTTTGTTTATTTGAAACAGGGTCTTGCCTCAGTGTCAGGAAGTCCTGAGATTACAGGCATTCACCACCACACCTGGCTTCAAAGATGCATCTTATGGCTTTGTTACAGCAGTGATTCATTCCATCACCTCTTTGTGAGACAAGGGAACGCCAGAAAAGAGGGTAGAACTAAGTATTTTGATTTCTTTTAAAATGTAAGCGACAAATATACTCCTTTTGGCAGCACATACACTAAAATTGGAATAATATAGAGAAAATTACCATGGCTCCTATTCAAGGATGACACAAAAATGCACAAAGTGTTCCATATTTTTCTTCTAAAAAGAAAAAAAAGTTAAGTAGATGAAAGACTACCCTAACCATTTAAGCATACTTCTAAGTTCAAAAACAATTTTTGAGAATAACTAATTTGTAAATATTCATTCACTACAATTTATGCTTCAGAGTATTGTAATTGATTTTGCAGCGTAAGATTTTTAGGAAGGACTAAAACATCCCTACAGCAACCCGAGCCTTGCTGGAATGATGGGCTGTGATCACAGAGCCTTGGATGACAGTGCCAGCAAAACACTTTCTGCTATCAGAATATTTTCCTCATCCTGCCATTACAGTTACTCTGAAGTCATGTTTAAAAAGATTCGAAGCTGTGTTGTGAAGAAAGTTGCTGTGAACTTTGCTAACAATGGTCTAAATACATTTTTGGATTACTCTCTGGAGAAATTGCAGTATTTCACACAAGCGGTACCCACTTTACTCGGGTGAAATGAAAATCCCTATTTTGCTCTTCTTTGCATGTCTCCTTAAAACCTCAAACCACGTTTGGGAACGTTTTCTCTTTTAATCTTCACTCTTCCATTCTGTTTCTAAAGGAATACTTAGTGTTAACTAGGTTGCAATTTCATTCGAAAAGAATTGAGCTGGCTTTCCAGAATGAGGTCGATTGCCCACAGAGAGTATGTTGGCGGCTACCTTTAAACATTCAAGGAACTGTACAGGCGGCATACCCAGATTTAATGCAGATAATTTGAGCTAGAAATGATGTCATTGTGATATTGGCAAGAAAGATGCATAAGATGTACCTTCCACTCTTCTCTTTGGATAAGTACAATTTTCTTTGCAGCATTTTATTACATTGAGAATACTAAAGACATTAGTGATTTTCTCACATAATGACAACAAAAACATCTGACTTTGTTTTGAATTCAAATCGTTAACTATGCACAATAGTATTTTGTGCAACCTATAATTGGGGCGTGAAAACCAAGCCATGAAGTAACAATTGTTAACACATCGTGCCTATGAAAAGAAGAGAAAGTATTAGGCTCCTAGTTTCATAAATGGAAATTAAAACTTATGGGCCAATCAAGCAGAGAAATATCAAAATTTAAAAATAAGAAGTAAAATAGTTCCCATGTGCCAAGCACAATCCTTTTTTAGAAAAAATTACTTGAGTAATTTTTATAACACATAGATAAGAACACACACATACATATATGAAAAAAATAAGTTTTACAACATAATGTCACAGACAGTATTCTGAGCCTACGAAAATGTATAATACTGGCATTTAAAACTTTTCCTGGTTCAACAGTTAAGGAAATAATGGAAAGCATGAGTGTCTCTTACACTGTGACTACAAAAACTTAGGAGTTTTCAACATATGCTAAATATGTATTTACTCACAGATATTTATTAAGTCCCATCTATACTCTAGACACTGGATCAAGGGTGTTAATAAAACAACCTGCCCTCCAGTGATCAGTTACCCCTTAAAGAAGACAAACGCTAAAGAGCTGAAAAAGGCATAGGCTGCAGAGGGGCAATGGGGCTAGTTTTTTCTGAGCACATACACAGTGTGTAACCTCAACTAATAAGCACTTTATGTATCCAGTGCATCCTGTAGAGTTGTGTTGAAGGGTCTTCTGGAAGAAAATGGTTCATTTTGCCCAACAAGGTCCCACGTTTGAGCTGAGTCACTACATAACTAACTGTACCTGAGGGAGAACAGCTGACTCGTGATACCTTGTGACCCTCTGTTTTGTTCAAAAGCCTAGTTATGTTGGTTCGGGAGAGTTTTCCCACATCTGCTCACTATAATTTCCAAACCTGTAGAGCTCCCCCATGGTGGGGACAGCACTAGGGTAAGAAGACAATTTACCTGCAGCTGGGAGACTGAAAACATGAGTTTCTTCTTGGAGGCCACCCGTAGATCCTAAAAAGCCACAGTACTTTGCAATATGGGTTTCTTCAAGTGGTCATTTACTTCATGACAGTTTATTTATTCAAAACCAGAAAGAGAGAGGGTCTCTCACCTCAGGGAGAGCACCGTTCCTCTTTTACAAGCTTTTCACCTACAAATCAAGCCCGCCCTGATACTCTTTTGATTGACTTAAAACCAATTGATTTGGTGTATTACTACATCTAAACAGGACAGTCATAGGCCCCACCCATATTCAAGGCAAAGAGAAAACTTACATCCTAAAAGCACCAGGGGGTAGGAAACCAAGCCACCCAGCAAGTTCCCTCAAAGCCAGAAAATTATCATTGTGGACCTTTATTTACATACATTTAGAACTAAACTCTAATAACACCCAAAGTAAATATTTTTAAATAGTTTGTTGTGACCCAGTTTGGTTTTCTTTCTTTCTTTCTTTCTTTCTTTCTTTCTTTGTTTCTTTCTTTCTTTGTTTCTTTCTTTCTTTGTTTCTTTCTTTCTTCCTTCCTTCCTTTCTTTCTCTTTTCCTCTTCCTTTCTTTTGTTAGTTCATTCATTCATTTGTTTTTTGAGACAGGGTTTCTCTGTGTAGCCTTGACTGTCCTGGAACTCACTTTGTAGACCAGGCTGGCCTCAAACTCACAAAATTCTGTCTGCCTCTGCCTCTCGGGTTCTGGGATTAAAGGCATGTGCCACCACCTCCTGGAGACTTTGTTTTTTGAGACAGGGTCTCACTCTTTAGAATAGGCTATCCTAGAACTCACTATGTAGCCCAGACTGGACCCAAACTCTTAGGAATCCTCTTGCCTCGGCTTCCTAAATGCTGTGGTCACAGGCATGAGCCAACACACTCAGCTAGTTTCAAATATTTTGACTTTAAAATAAAATCGCTATAGATATGCCAAATGCTGGACTTATTATACCCAAGGACAAACTAAAATAAAAAATATGAATTGCTTAATATTAAAACCAATAGGATATATATAAGCAGCATTGTATGACTTGGAAAATAAGATGAAGATTATTACTGATTAAATTCATGCTGTATTTTATAGTTTACTATCAAAATAAGCATTTAAATATATAGTATCTATACATACAGGCTAGCTTGTTAAACATAATTGTATTGTTTTCAAGGACAGACATTTAAAAAATATAGCAAATATCATGCAAGATCTTCACCCACCTAGTTTGAAGCTAATGCTGCAAAAACACACACACAGGGTTATCTGCTGAGCCCAGGGGCACTGCAGTCAGGGTTGAAATGCAGAAGCAACTCAATAGAACAATATCCTTCGTAGACTGGCTCTTACTAGAATTGTCAGTCACTTGTCTCACTACACACCATAAATGCACATAATAAAAGGAGAAAGAAGAAAAGGTAATGCCCACTGACTTTTTTGTATCTACTACCCTGTTGCACCTTTAAGGGCATTCTTTAGTTCTCAAAATGTCACAACAGTGGCAAATACAATTATGTCAGATTCTCTGTCAGCCAGCAAGCAGTTCTGGTGAAAGTAGAGGCTCCTGACAACCAAGAGCAACCAGAGGAAAGAGGATACAGCACCCATTGCCGCAGATGTAATTTACAGATTGAGATGCACTGGATTGTGGAGCAGTTCTGGAGTGGGAACTCAGTCTCCAGAACCAGTTTCTTTAACTCATGTGTAGAAACTTAGAGAAGAAGAGAACATGCCCAAGTTTTCAATATCCCTTAAAGATGTTTCATTGACAGTCTCTGCAATCTAGAATTCCCAGAGCACCTGTGACTCTCCAGAAATGTTTTCCATACTGTAGTCATGGGTGATGTTATTTGCAACAAAAGAAACACAACAGTGATTTCACAGAGAGCAAACCTTGAGCTTCCTTCTGCCGTGTGTACACATGCAAGGTTTGGGGTTGCCAGGAATCCAAACAGGTTAGGTGTCACCTCGATGTCTTTGCTTTCCAGATCTCTGTGACATGCACACTGCCCGCTGAGTGTCTGGAAGGAGGTAAGTCAGAGCACAAGGATCCAATTTCAGGTGTCTCCACATTCCGTCAAAGTGGCACTGCCACGTGTTTGTCACTATTGTTTCCATAACACCAAAAGAAAAAAAAAAAAGGTTTGAAATCTGTTTTGGGTCTAGAACACTTGATTGCTACTCCTTGCATAATAACCAAAGACAACTACATACCAACACTACCTCAGATCATTTGAAGGAAATTGTTGAGAGAAACATGGCTTAGTGACCTTGACCTTTTGTGGCTCCAAAGTTTATATTTTACATATAGTCTAAGATCTTCATCTCAATCACTACTCATTACTATTTGGAGAATGAAGAATGAACCGATGCTATGTGTGAAAGTTTGAATGAAAATGGTCCCAATAGGTTCATATATTTTCATGTTTAATCCCTACTTGATGAATGTTTGGGGAAGATTAGGAGGTGTGGCCATGTCAGAGGAGGTGTGTCATTGGGAGTGGGCTTTGAGTGTCACTCTCTCTGCCTGCTTCCTGCTGATCAGGATAGCTCTCAGCTACTTCTCCACACCATGTCTGCCTATGTACCATCATGCTTCCTGCCATGATGATAATGGACTAACTCTCTGAAAACATACTCAAGCCCTCAATTAAATGCTTTCTTTTATAAGAATTGCCCTGGTCATGGTATCTCTTCATAGCAAGTGAACAGTAACTAAGACAATATCTAAGTGCATAGTTTGGTAGTTTTGACATATGTATACAGACATAGATTCACAACCACAATCTCTCATCATGATACAGGAAAAAAAATGAGGATATCTTTGAGAGGGTTGAAGTCTTTTAGCATGCAGATGGGCTTTAACTCAGAATAGGGCCACTGTGTGCTCAGGTCATACAAAATTTCTACTGAGTCAGTGGCTTCAGGGTGTCTTGAGAATCCAAAGGAAGAAATCCACAAACACAGAGGGGGGGTATATTTGGGGGGGGGGTATTGGAGACAGGGTTTCTCTGTGGCTTAGGAGGATGTCCTGGAACTCACTCCTGTAGACCAGGCTGGTCTCGAACTCACAGAGATCTGCCTGCCTCTGCCACCCGAGTTCCGGGATTAAAGGCATGCACCACCACTGCCCAGCT